TGTCCGTGCCAAGAAAAGCTACCGCGACAGCTATACAACTTTCTCTTATCATGTTGACTGAATAAAACCGATTACTTGCATTAAGTAAAAGCTGTTTCGTACTAGAGTAAAACTTTAATATTTTAAGCTACGAAAGGGTTAATAGGTGATCGAACCGGAAACACTGGAGGTGATGAGACAGGAGCCGTATAATTTCTCAAAGCACATGACTATTATAGTTCGTCAGGTAAAAGAACTGGTGCGTAGCCCAGCTTCTTGTGGCAGGAAAGCTAGCGCTAGAGCCACCAACTCGATAATCAACGGAGCACTGCAAGTCGAGGTCTACATGTACATTGGCAACAAAGAGGAATGAAATGCGCAATCGGAAGATACGTTTTGACCTTTTTGACCTTTCGTGGCAAAGCACCGGACCCTTTCGCATTCAGTGCGCATTCAGGTACGAGACAGGCCGAAATTTATGGCATCACCTCTGAACTGAAAGTTGCAGAGCAAGCAACTTCTCACTTTAGAAATTCCTCGCGAGCATGAGCCTCTTGCAACAATCAAGCGACGACGTTGTCGGCGGTCTCGCGCGGCTCACTCCGATGAACCCGTTGCCAGAGCGATATTCGCGTCACATGCAGACTGTGACCAAGCTCAAGCAGATCCGCTGCGTCCTGGTGTCCGCTGCCAACGGTAGCTACGTCATCGACGTGTACACGCCGTCGCAGTCAAGATCTCACATCCCCACCACGCTCAAGAATGCCCAACGTTTGGATGCCCACACTCAGAAAACCTTCAGCGACTTCGTTGAGCTCCGAGACGATCTTTACGAGACGTGCACATCATCCTGCTCGTTCTGCAGCGAAGTAAGCCGTACCCTGCTGCTTGGAGCTTCGCTGCCGGGCTCGGTGCTGAGCTTGGTGCTTTCACAACGTCAACGAACCAAGGCCGTGCAGCGGTTCATTGAGAATTTGCTGCAACTCGCAACTTCCTGCCCCATCGTCGACTACTACACTTGTCCGTGCCAGGAGCAACTTCCACGAGAACTCTTCTTGTTCCTCTTCGGAGAGTCCGGCCCGTTGGGTTAAAAAGCCTTTTAACTCTCGACACGAGCAACTTATCTATCCCTACTTACTGTAAACAAATGAACAAGGCAGTTCTTAACATTAAAATACCAGCTGATAAAACCCAGAGGGTTTATCTTGAAGCGCGAGCCATGGACCATGATTTTTCATGATTCTTAGCACACTTGCAAATCTATTTTGCCGACAGCTCGGTAAAATGCTGCAAGCTTCCCACGAAGCAACATTCTTTCGCTATGCCTTGAGCTTAAATACAAGGGTCGTGGCCCTGTTTCCATCGATACAGTGGCAAGACGATGATTGCCACCATCAATTGTCCTGCTCATCACAGCAACCGATACAAACATAAGGCGTTGACGCCACTAGTGACTACAGTTGCATGAATGTTTGTAACCACCCAACGCAAAGTCACGCGT